AGCCATGAGCTGGTAACTGTTGAAGCCAGATGATGGGTACAGGGGATTCCACATTTCAATTACTCTATTTTTGTATGTTTACGTTTTCCATTATAAAACATTTTTTAAAAATTTTACCCATGGTGTTAGCAGTCAGGATAATGGCTACCTTTAATGAGAAAATGGGAGCCACAATAAGGGCTTCCTAAGTGGGAGGAATGTTTTATTTCTTACATTAGTTTACTTGGTTCATCAATCTATACATTATGATTTATGCACGTTTCTGTATATATTATTCTGCAACCAAAATGTATTTTTTAAAAAGCAAGAAATCCACTCTTCAGTGCAAGGGAAGGCACTATGGTAGAAGTGAAGGTACTACAGCATCACTGAGAAAGCTGTTTTTCAGCATAAAGGCAATGGCCCTAAATAAGTGTCAGAATATGGTCTCAGTTTCCTCATCCATAAGGGGGAATAGCAGCAGCTGCATTAGCTCGCTGTTGTTGAGCATTAAATGGGATGGCACCTATGAAGTGCTTACAACAGAACTAGCAAGGAATGAAGGTTGCCTTTGACTCTTATGTCTGAGGACCTGCCCTGCATTCAGGGCCTGCTTGATCCCTAAAATGCAGTGTAGGTACTAAACAGCACTCCTGGTTTTAATCAAAGAGCTCCGTAGCAATAAATTACCCTCATACTGGGAGCTGGACAGATCCCTATTAGCCCGCCCCCAAGGCTCTAACAGAAAACCACTAATGAGACTGAACAGGAGGCACCAGAGCCTCACGCCCATCAGAGAAAACACCGAACACCTCCCCCGCAAGTACTCCGCGTGGAAACGAAATCACTTAAGCAGATGGAAGCCGAAGCCCCACACCCACACCCAGGCATCTTCCCTCTCCCACCCCGCTCCACTCCACCCCACGCCCTCCAATAGCGGCGCGCGGAGCAAAAGCCTCATATCGCCCCTCCTCCTTCCCCCAATCAGCGAGCCCGCACCAGGTCGCAGCGCCCAATCACAGCGCTCCACATGCTAAGGGCAGCACTCCGCGCAAGCGCGTACGGGGGTGGCTTCCGGAAAGGTCCGCACCCAAACGCCAGGTTCCAAAGGCTGCGCAGCGGTCTGGGCAGAGGCGGCGCTGCCACCTACTGCACGATCTTCGGGATGCAGCCCCAGGCGCGGTGCAGCCCCAGGCGCGGTGCCTGAATTCTCAGGACATACATCTGAACCCAAACACTCAAGAGTTAGGGAATACATGCAATATTACCACACGGGTGCGAAAGTTTTAATTACATTTTATTACACAGCAGAAAAAAAATACTGTCTCAGAGAGTCTTTTTTTTCCCAAGCAGTTTGAGTTTCCAAACCTTACCTCATACCCTAATCTTTTATATAGGGGTAGAATCAAGGGGCCTAGAAATTCGTTCATTCCACATTTCTGGAGCACCTATTATATGGTAGGGTATGAAGTGAAGCAGGCATTATCATCATCCCTAATTTATGACTACAGGAACAAGGTTAAATGACATAGTTTCTGAAAGCTGGCTTAACTAGGTCTCACATCCAGATGTCTGCCCCCAAGGGCAGACTTTTCACCACACCAAACGTCACAATGATGGTATAAAGTGCTGTAAGAATACAGGGTGAGGAAAAAATTCTGACTGGATAGGGATTCAGAGGGTATGTACAGAGGGTATTCAAGGAGGGTCTTCAGTAAATGGTAGCTGTTAACGCTTTTCCAAGTATACTAATCTTAACAAAGACAGTTACCTACATTTGATATTTTATTTATTGCAGACTTACTATATTCATTCTTTGGCAAACAGCTTCTGCTTATTCAGGATCTATGTAAAAGTTCCTGTAAATCTGTCCCCTAATTAGGAAGAGCTGACTATATCCTATTCCAAGGCACCAAATATAATGGTCTTTTCTAATTTTCCCTTCATGCCTAGGAAAGCGTTAATAATAGCTTTCCTGAAATTCATTTTCTTCTCTGCACTTCCACAGCACTTTTCTTACAGTTCATGTATGGCATATCAGAACACGCTTTGCAATATAATCAATGGAGTCCATGTTGGTTTCATCACTGGAACGGTGGTTCCCAAAAGGAGTACTAATGGCCCCAGAGGGCAACTAGAAATATGGGGGTGTTTTCTGACTATCACAGTGACTGCAGGGAGTACTGAATGAGCAGAAGACAGGAAAATTAGATACCCTGCAACGCAAAGACTGTCCAACACATCAAAACATTGTCCTTGTTGGGGGCCAGAGTTTTCGGTATAGAAGGCTGATACAAATATGGCCTAGAAAAGGCAAGGAGCTCTGTGGGGATGAACTGGAATTGGAGGTTTCAGCATGAATTCATTATTTGTAAAATGTGTACACGTAAGCTTATATGCATGTATGTGCATATATGTTTATGTGGCTATGTATACTTATTTTTCCTAGTTCTAGCCACTGAATAAGCCAAAAAGCAAAAACTCCACAGTAGCAAGAGGACAACTTGTGCACAGATCTTGGTTTCTAATACCATTCCTTACTAAAAGGAACCAGGACTCTGGAGAAATAGTTGATTCCAGGGCTAGAGCAGGAAAGGTACAAGATGGAAAACCGGGAGTCAGGTTGAAAGGACTTCTACCAGCCAACACTGAAACAATGTGACCACCCAAATAACAAGGATGGTAACGAATCATTAAAAGAAAAAGAGGAATCCACAATCCACAAGACCAAACTGATAATAAACAGAGAAAGAAATGGGAGGGAATGGAAGGCTCTTACTTACATTAGAATATTGAGTACTAATTACTAAATGTGGAGGTATTAACGAATTGGAAAACCATCATTTTGCAACCACCATAGTAAAGATTGATTTAGGCAAGAAGCTAAATGGATACTAAACTTAGGGGGAAACTTCCGATAAGCAGCAGGACAGTGGCATGATACTAAAGTATCTCTCCACAGATTGCCCATTAGTCACAAGGGAGAAAAATCACACACACTTGACTGGGTGATCAAAGTTAACCTCACCAGTGAGGGCAGATGGACATCGGGTGTCTCCAGATGAGAAGACATCCTGAGATGGACACAACATTACTGACAATATTCTGGCCAGGGGACCCTTCCTTGAATCTAATTATGAAGAAATACAAGACAAATCCCAAAAGAAGAATATTCTATTAAAAAAAGGGACTGGCTTCTTAAAAAATGTCAGGTAGTATACACCAAAGCACTCAGCTTAACGGGCTATAACATATGTAACAAACTCTCAAATGGTTAAAAAAAAAAAAGTGTGTATAGAGAACGAGAAAGCAAAAACAAAAGGGTCAAAATGATGACAACTGGTGAATCTGGGCAAAGAGTATACAGATGCTCTTTGTATTATTCTTACAAGTTTTTGTAAGTTTAAAATAATTTACAGATAAAAGTTAAAATATTTGCCCCATGTACCATGGCATCTACGACACGGCAGACATTAACACGAATAAAAAAAAAAATCAACCTGTTGATAATGGACAGAACTAACTCCATTTTACACATAAACAAAGGCAAAGTACTTTTTTGGGCAAAATTTGAAAATAAGCTGAATCTTCCATAGATGCAACTACCATGTAAACTGAAGACGGTAATTAGACTTGTTCAGAACTTTACCAAGAGGGTTCACCATTTTGTGAATTAAACTGTGTCCCATATGATAATGCCACTCCTGGTATTGGACCTTGCCAGTATACCACATCTGTACCCATCTGCATTTCTATCTATTCACAGTGACTCTACATTTCAGTGCAAGTATGTAGTTACTTACCTTCAGATTCTCCACAGCTCTGCTTTGGTTAGCCCCTGCCTACATAGCCATTCCAGGACATACAAACCAATTTTGCTCTTGCAATAACATCATCAGGGGAGAAAATTATGAGTTCTTTGAAAGCCCTCCCCACCCCAAACTGGGCCATCACAGACAGCTACAAAAGAATGTCTCCCTCCTCCTTCCCCCCACTTATTAGAAGAATCCATAAACACAGGGAGACTTTATTCTTTAACATAATCCCAAAAAAGCAGAGAAAGAAATCTGGGGGAGAATATTAGATCAGCACTAGAATTGATCAAAAAATTACATCAGTCCCATAAAACTATCAGCAATCATCTGACTTTATCATGTCCTCATGATGTTACATATAATGTATATTACATATATGAAGTATTTATATTTCTACAAAATGCTCATAGGGTCAGTGACTCCTTTTAGAGATTTCATTTATTTAGAGACAGAGCAAGAACACAAGTGGGGAGAGGGGCAGAGGGGGAGGGAAAGGGAAAGAGAATTTAAAGCAGACTCGATGCTAAGCGCAGAGCCAGCCATGGGGCTTGATCTCACAACCCTGAGATCATGACCTGAACTAAAACCAAGAGTTAGAGTCAACGCTTAACTGACTGAGCCTCCCAGGCGCCCCTAGGCCTTGTTATTTTAGGAAAGGCTGCTACCTGTGTAATATGACCTAGAGAACAAGGAAAGGGAAGAATAATTAGGAGCCTACTGCCTGAGAAGATGTTAGCTAACTATTTTTCCTAAATGGTTTGTATGAAATTATAACACTGCTTTCAAATCTATTACCTGGTAATAAAAAAAAGAGTCAGAAAGAGCTCTAAAGACCACAAGTTAAAAAATTACAATAAAAAAGGATGATAATATAAAATATATTTTTCTCTGCAGATAATATAAAACAGAGACAACCTGCATGGTAACTAACTACACGACTAAAATGGATAAAAAACAAGAAAGAAGAGAATTGTTTACATAATTCAGGGAGACTAATCAAGGCAAAAATTAAATAGAAATTTTCAGGATAGCAAAAATGATTTTGCCACATGTAAAATAATAATCTAATTCTTTATAAGACTTAAAATGTGCTTATATGAATGGGATCATCATAAAAGCATGATTTCATAAATACATCATACGAACATGATGGTAAACATATAGAGTGAATGACATGACATATCTAAGAGCTCAATAGGTACTTACCGAGGTGACAATGTTCTTTTTCTCTTGCTTCCCATTTATGGCTGTCCACATATGCTGCAGAAAGCAGTCCTCTTTCACCTGAGGAAAAAAGTCAATTATTAACAGGTGTGGCTTCACAACGGGTTCAGTTTATATGTCTTATTAAACATAGCTTTGTCATATTTTCAATGTACTGAGTTATGTAAAGATTCTAGTATGATACTATAACCAATATCACAGAGTTCATAATTCAGTTCATGACAACATGCATTCCACCTCTAACAAGTAGAAGATACAGAAAAACTGAAAATTTCTACAATAATGTTACGGGTAAGAATGTTGGTAATTTTGTTCCTATAACTTTAGTACTAGAAGCCATTTGTTGCCCCTACATTATAGCCTAAGTGAGCCCTAGAACTCCTTCTTATAACCCAAATACTTGCTGAACTGTTGATTAACTCATTAACCGAATGCTTTATAATCATTAGCCCTAAAAACATTTCCATCTGACTTGGATCAGCATATTTACCCTCACTTCACATAAAGCAAAGAGTATCTTACCCAGTAACCAAGCACCCTACTGGTAAATAAGAGAAACCTAACAAGCCAGAGTTGAGGTAACTCACTAGATGGTATAACTGTATTCCCAGAACCTGGCACAATGACTAGTATACGGCAATGCTCGATAAACATAAGCTCAAGGAATGAATGAGCAGCAACTTAACCAAAACTAGAACCTTTTGTTTTAAAGGACACCATTAAGAAAGTGAAATGCCAACTCAGAATGGAGAAAATATTTGCAAATTACTTACCTGATAAGGGACTTATATCCAGAATATGTAAATGGCTCTTGCAACTCAAAATTTAAAAAGACAACCCACTGAAAAATGGGCAAAGGATTTGAACAGACATTTCTTAAAAACAAAAACGCACAGATAAATGGCCAAGTATATGGAAAGATGTTTAATATGATTTGCCATTAGGGAAATGCAAAGTACACTGAAATACAACTTGATACTCTCTAGAATGACTATAATAAAAAAGACAGATAGTAACAGCTATTGATAAGGATGTAGAGAAACTGGGACCCTCATATATTGTAGGTGACAATGTAAAATGGTGCAGCCACTTTGGAAAAGCTTGGTAGTTCCTCAAAATGTTAATGATGTGGAAAACAAAGACAGAAGAAAAATTATTAAATTTCCTTACTACCTACAGCCCATTGACAAGTCCTTGAAACAGGTAGTGATATTCCTCAAGGACTCAACTGCCTTTACGTTGATACTTTGCTAAGGACAAAAGGCAATCTTAGCCCAACCCCCAGGTCCCTGTAAGTCTACTTTCACATATAAGAATTCCTTTGGAAACTTCCTTTATCTCTACCCCTCAGGATACATGTTGGCAATTATCCCCCAAGCATATGAAGCATTGATAGACATCTGAAGGGTCTCAGACTGAGTTTTTACTAAACAGTAATAAATGACCTTTCCTAACAATAGCTAGCCCCCTCAGGATCCTGGAAACCTTGTTTCCAAAATACCTGGGAGGCTTACATCATCCCTAACCCCCTCCCAGCTTGAAAGTATATAATGGGTGACTCCTCATGACCCCAGTGCAGCTCTTTCTGCCCTCTGGTCCTCGCGCTTTAATGAAAGCACCTTTTTGCAACAAAGACATCTCAAGAATTCTGTCTTGGCCTTCGGCTTGGAACCCTAACATCTTTCCTACATCATTAACATGGAGTTACCATGCAACCCGGCAATCTCACTCCTAGGTATATACCCAGGAGAAATGAAATCATGTATCCACACAAAAATTGGTATACAAATGGTCATAGCATTATTATTCATAATAGCCCAAAAGTGAAAATAATGCAAATATCCAACAATAAAAAGATAAACAAAATGTGATAAATTCTTACCATAGAATATTATTTGGCAGTAAAAAGAAATGAAGTATTGGTACAGGCTACAACATGGATGAACCTTGAAAACTTTATGTTAAGTGAAAAAGAAGCCAGTCACAAAAGGCCACATATTACATAACTCCATTTATATGAAATGCCCATAACAGGCAAATCCTTAGAAACAGCAGATTAGTTGTTGCCTAGAACTGGAGGGAAGGGAGTCGGGAAAGCTTGTAGGAAAATGGGGAATGACTGCTAATGACTATGAGGGGTTTTTTGAGGTGATAAAAATGTGCTAAGGTGATGATTGTGCAACACTGTGTGTATATATATATTAAAAAAAAAAACCCACTGCATTGAATTATTGAAATGGGTGAACTGTATCTCAATAAAGCTATTTACAAGAAAAAAAAAAGGAAGGAATGGCAGATAAGTATCTAAGTCACACACAGTCCACAATGCGACAGCATGGGAGTTACCTTAATTACCTTAATTAAAAGGAGTCACCCTCCCTTACTGTAATTACAGGTCAAAACTTTACTAGAATAATATGCTAAATTTGAGGCCTAAAGCTTAAGCAATGATGCAGTAATATGAAAAAGCTTCCAAAGACTGTCTCAAAGAGGAACTAAGAGATTTTTAAAGAAATAATAACCATTAAAAAGTGCCTACACTTCAAGTGTATTATTAAAAAAAAAATTAGATGTTTGGCATAATACCTTTTCATAGAAACATTTTTCATAGTTTCTCAAAGCACACATTTTTCATAGAAACAATGTTATAAATTGTTAGTTACATTCCTACATCTGCCAAGAAGGATGAATAAAATCCAATGGCATTAGCTGTGTAGCTGTACAAGTCAGGAGTGGGAGACCTGAGATTTGGTCTGAGTTTTACCAGTTGGTCGAAAACTAGAGATCCTGCAGTTACAAATGAAGGAGCTGACCTTGGTGATAGTTAAGGTCCCTGCTTGTTCTTACATTGAACCAAAAGAATAAATTCACCTAATCCATTCATAATTTATAGCAGCATTTCTATGCAAACTGAATTCCAATTTCTAAAACCAGGAAGGTGTCTCCTTTCTGTGGGAAACAAGAGCAGCTCTTTATGTGAGCATGAGCTAAGGACTATTAAGCTATATACATCAGGATACCAGTGACTTATTCTCTATTATTATTATAATTTCTTATTCTCTATTTCTGCTTCTAGCATAAGAAATCACCCTTTCCTATTCTGGAGTCAGAAAAGACAATTATGAAGGTCAATGTTCAAAGAGTTTCTAATTGGAAGACAAAAAGGCAGGGGAAGTAATGGTGGGGAAAGACAGGAATCCAAGAGTGCCCTTTGTGTACAGTTGTTCAAGGGGAATCACATGAACTGAAAACAAAAAACAAATGAAGACCAGTAAATCTACAAAAGGTAAACCCAGCAACCCTTATATACATGAACTTTTTAAAGTTTCCTTTATAAGAAAGTAACCAGTAATCACTTTCCATCTCCAATGAGTATAGAAAAAAAGGGTTTAAGGACGAAGAATTTAAATTTGGCAAATGGCGAATTTTCCTAGACCAATAGAAACCAATGATAAATGTAGGAATGAGTGGCCAAGTCTGGTAGGCAGAAAAATGACCCTCCAAAAGACGTCCATGTCTTAATCTCCAGAACCCGTGAACATGTTAGGGTACACAGCTAAAGGCGATTTAGGTTAAGATCACCAAATCAGCTGATGTTAAAATGAGGCAATTGTACTGGGTTATCCAGGTGAGCCCAATGTAGTCACAAGGTCTTTAAAAGTGAAAAAGGGGGAAAGACAGGTACTACTGATGAAGGGTAATAGGAAGGCAGGCAGGCAGGGGCAAGCCCCGTCCCCGCCCTAAGAAGAAACCACCCTTAAGAGGATTTACACCGCCCTGGAAGGAGCCCTTCACCCTTTCCCATATGATACACAGGTGACAAAAATCTGATTGGATGACAGGCACAGGGAGCATTAATCAGACTGAAACAGCCCACCAACAAGCCCATAAAAAGCCCTAGACTCAGAAACTCCGGCGGCAACCCCTTTGGGTCTCCTCCCTCCTTGGGAGCTTGTGCTATCACTTTGCTATCGCTCAATAAACCTTGCTTCTCTGCCCACTACTGTCTGGTCTCCCTCTTCACACTTCGAAGTGGTGTGACCAAGAACCGTGGGCACGGACGGAGAAAAAAAATCCTGCAACACTATGATGTATGAAGGATGGGGTGATATAAGGCCTTGACTTGCTCATGTTCAAGATGTTTGAAAAAGGGGAGCATCAGCCAAGGAATGTAAGGGGTTTCTCGAAGAGGGAAAAGACATGGAAACAGATTCTCCCCTAGAGATTCCTGAAGGAAACCCGTCTTTTTCAACACCTTGAATTTAGCACAGCTAGACCCTATGTTGGACTTCTAACCTACAGAACTGTACCATAATACTTGTATTGTTTTAAACCACCGAATTTGTGGTAATTTGTTACAACAGCAATAGGAAATTACTACACCTTAAAAAAGACAAACATTCCATTTCTGTAAGCCTTTTAAAGCAAGATGTTTATCTTTCTGATACTTTACAAATGACGTCGTTTAAAAAAAATCTTTGCATTTCTGTATAGTAGTTGGAAGATCTGTATATTAACATTAGAATCAAAGATCTCCTATGAAGTCAGAATGTTAAATTGGGTTAACAATGGTAAAGCGGAAAATCTAAAAGTTTCTTAAACTTTAATGTGTATGTGAACCTTGATAAAGTGAAGGTTCTGATTCAATAGGTCTTCAGTGGGGACAGAGACTCTATTTCTAACAATTTTCCACGTGATACGATGTTAATCCTCAGACCACACTGAAGTAAGTGGATAAAACAATAACAGCCTCCCAGTTTCAGGTCTGAGTCTGAATAATCCCACTCTGCAAATGCCACCCAACAGTATATATAAACCTTTCTTGAACTTGGCTATCCTTCCAGTTAGCTTTGGGGGCAACCATATTCTCTAAGATAAAACTCTCCACCATAAAAAGAAATATTTCCTCTATTTAATTCCAGAAAAGCTACCTCCGAAGACCATAATTTCAAATTTTAGTGAAAAGTGATTGGCTCTATATACTTACTCATTTTATAGTTATTTTGGCCTTCAGACCAATGTCTCCAAACATGTTTTCCATCCAAAGAAAAGCAGTGATTGTTGACACAGATGTGCTCTAGAGTCACAAAGTCTGCAGCTGGAATCCTTGCCTGGCTAATAAATGGTATGAAACCTGGACAAGCTGCATAGTCTCTGAGCCTCTTTCATCATATGTAAAATAGAGAAATATTGCCTACCTTGTATCATAGTTGAAATGAGGGCATGTTAAGTGCCTACTCAAATGTTCACTATGTAATAGGTCCCAATAAATATGCTTTCTCTACTCTCTTCATAACTTTAAATCACTTTTCTAGTTTGTACCAAGTACATTTCCCCCTCTCTCATCCTGTAATGGCTCAAGATGTTATGCTGACTTAAAAGTCAATCACCTTATCTGCACTGTCAAATCCGGGATGGTCCTTAATGCACTACCCAGCATACTCCTATTACTTGCCTTAGAGCTTCCAGTTCCTGATTTCCAGACTCCTTTCTTCTGTGGTCTAACCTAGTGCCTATTCAATAGAACCTAATGATGGAAATAATCAATTCTGAGCTGTGAAACTGTAGCCACTAACTACAGGTCTCTACTGAACACTTAAAATGTGGTCAGTGTGACTAAAAAACCTGAATTTCTTATTTTAAGTTTAACTAATTTCAATAGCCACATGTAGCTAATAGCTACCACAATGTAACAACACAGGTATATCTGACTGCAAGTTCACCAGTGGAGAACAAAATGCTAACTGGAAATTCAATTCACCCTTATCTAATATCCATTCCCTTGTTAGAAAGATTGCCTCAAACACTATGCAACCACAATAGTCTCCCTGATACACAATTCAAGGTCTTGTGTAAATTGAAAAGCATTTACTAAGAGCCATAATGCTAGCAAATAGAGCAGCTAATTCTTATTGAGATGCCAGGTACTGTACATACTGCTTTACCTAATGTGTAGCACTAAACATTTTCACCTGCTAGGTCAACCAGTTAATCTTCCGAAAACCTGGTGGCCAACAATGAGGTTTTGAGTTGATATTTAATAGCTGTTCCTAAAGAACTGTGAACAACAGTGTAAGTGTTGGTTTTTAATAGGAGCTAGAGGGTATGTTGGAAAGAGAAGATAACGGGCACTGGAAACATCAATTGTGATTACTGCATTTTAGTCATATAATCATACACCTATCAGGGTTTAGCTTGTATAAATGTCAACTTTTTCTAATGTCTTTATCAGCAGATCCATTAAAAACATTTTGAGTGAGGTGCCGTTTACTCAAATATCCAAGTACAGTTGACCCTTGAATAATACGACTTTGAACTGCAGGGGTCCACTTACACAGATTATTTTCAATAAATACAGTATAGTCCTCTAGAATTACTAAATCTTTACTAAAGATTTTAGTAACACTTTCCGTAGCTCACTTTACTGTGAAGAATACACTATACAATTACATAAAACATAAAAAATAAGTGTTAATGGACTGTTTGTTACAGGTAAGGTCAACAGTAGGCTTAAGTTTGGGGGGAGTCAAAACTTAAACACAATTTTTCAACTGCCTGGGATCATGCCTCTAACCCCTGAGTTGTTCAAGGGTCAACTATACTTCAGAAGTACCTACTGGCTCTACACGTGGAAAACTGGCATAGAAAGGTCACTCAAAAGTTGTGCCCCAGGTCATCAGATAATGAGAAATTAGCACTGAAATTCTTATCCCAAGTGGAGACCAAAGGTCTCCAACTGTGAGGTGGTGAGGAGTAGGTTTAGGACGCCCCTCCAAAGACACTTAAGCAGGGAGGAAAACTTCCTACCTCTGAAGTGGGGACATTTGGGTTCTTCGTGGTCAGGAAAGAGACCCTAACACACAAACCCTGCAAATCATATGCAAAAGACCTCATGGCCATAACTTCATCTACTCTGCACACCTCTGGACCGGCAGGCACTATTTTGGGTAAGGAGACGGGTCCGAGGCCATACTTCCCCTTGCTGTACTACCCAACGCTCCAAATGGTTAGCAACTAGATCCCAGAAGCATTTCCTGTCCTGTTGAAAGCCCACAGCTCCCTTCACTAAAGGAAGAGTTATCAGGTGACTAAAGAAGTAGCCCCACAAAAGCAGAACAGCCACCAACCTGCCACAGAGAGCGGAGGCAGAGGCACTTTCCGCGCCAGAAGGAAGCAGCGGCTCAATATGAGGGCTGCCATCTTGGAGCATACCAAGAGGATGAACGTCCGGGGATTGCGGGCAGAGGAAGGGGTGGGGTCATAGGCCGACGCTCCGCCCCCCTCCCCGGCTCCCGTCGTTGGTGTGGCCCGGGACAGCATGGCTGCCGCGATTCGGGTGCGGAAGCAGGACGTGCTGGAGGCGCTGCGGAGTTCGGTGTATCCCCGGGTGGGAGGCTCAGGCTCCACATGCTGCCGCTGCCCTCTCGGAGGTATCCGCGGCCTCTGGTCGTGAAGGAGGGGAGGATGGGAAAGAGGGGAGGTTAACACCTCAGCAGGCATCACTTGGGAAATAACAGCGCCTCAGTCACTCACTGGCCTGGGGCTTTCGAGCTTGCTCTTTCGTCCTCTGGTTGCGTGCGTGTGCAGCACTGGCTCTGGGTGTCATGGACACCCGTGTGCCTGGGAACGAAAGGACAGCCGGGCTGGGGTCTCGACCTTGAGGCTGTAGTAGTCCCTCAGAGGAGGCGACGCTGTTGTCTGGAAATCTCTCCCCCTTGGGTGTACTGTTCTGCACAATTCGGTAGCAGAGGTCTTAGACTCTGAGTTTGGCGCCCCAGCTCTGCCGCTGATAGTCTGAAAGACCTTGTGCAGGTTTCTTCATTTGTAAAATTGTCCCTTAATAACTTTACGGAAGTGATTAAATTTGAATATACTGGTGAGTGATAATAAAATACTTAACACTTGGTGTCAGGTATTACTCTATGCATTTAACGTATATTAATTCCTTTTCTCTTCACAACCCCCAGTGAGAGAGGTTCCCATTCTTTTCTCTCTTTACAGGGGTGGAAACAGCTAAGCCAAGTAATTAGCCCAAGGTGAGAGGAAAGTGGTAGAGGAAGGATTTGCACTCAGGCAGCACAACAGTACAATCCTGCTGTAACCGTATCTCTGGACTCTCTCCTCATAAATAGACAACACTTTTTATTGGTAACCAGTTATTGCAGTACAGAGAGGTCTTCAGTGAATGATTCTTTGACCAGGCTCCACTCCGTGCACAGCCAAGCATCCAAAAGAAATGTTTCCCAAACTTATCTTTTCTACTAAGCTGTGGTCAGTGATTTCTGATACATCATGAGGATACCGACAACCCAATTCTGAGAGGCCTTAACTCCTGATTTCACAAATGGCAGAACCGGGAATTCCAATGGTCACACTCTAGCTGTTTGCACTATCCTATGCGCTTCCACCTAGATAAACCAAAACTAAATCTACCAGTTTGACGTTTAAACAGTAACCTTTAGTTTTCTTTTTTTGTTTTTTTATTCCCTTGTAATCCCATAACTAGATGGGGAATGTATATTTATTTGTCTTTCACTTCCCAGATTCCTCTCAACCCATCTCCATACAGTTAATCACTAGCTCCTTTCACACACAAAAACAAAACTTGCTGAGAATTTGAATTTTCCGATAGTTTAGAGATGTTTACTTTTCCACCAGGGTGACTTATTTGTAGCTGTCCAGATGGATTATTTATATTAAGTGAAGATCAGTTATTAGAAAGACGCAATCAAGTTCTACTCATGTTTTTGCTAAGTATAAGATAGTGAAAATGATTTTTTTTCTTTGATTTTTAGCTAAAAGATACCTACTTACAGATAATATTGTGAAATTAAAAGAATTTCAGCATAAGAAGGTGGCTATTGCCTATCATCTTCCTGGCACCAAAGGTAATTGAATCTGTTTTGTTAATTCTTTCATTAATGTGTCATTCAGGTTTTTTCTCTCTTTATCCCTGCCTGAGAAAAAATTGACATGGATTATTCTTAATTTCCTAGACTACTCTTAAATGTACTTTTCATCTCACTTTCTACTCCTATAGGGTCTACCACTCTCCTCTTGTCACTTTTCCCAGGATCCCAGAGAAATGCTAAAATTAGTGTTGGAACCAGTCCTCTCTAGATCCATGCCACCCAGACTAAGGATCACGGGGTCAGCAGCAACTGGGAGTTTCATAGAAATACCAAACTTGAAGTCCCAGACTGTTAGTATGCCCAGTAAAGTCTGAGAAGAACTGCTCGAGATGATTGGCTTTCACATTTTTGATGCACCTCTGAGTAAAAAGTATATTTTACATAGTATCTCCATTATACGCATACATATATATATATACAAGTGAAATATAGTGAAACAAAACCACCCCATGTGTGATGCATTTTCTTTTCTTTCTTTCTTTCTTCTTTCTTTCTTTTTTTTTTTTAATATTGAGAGAGAGTGAGGGTTGGGGGAAGGGAAGGAGGGACAGAAGGAGAAGAGAGAATCTCAAGTGAACTCCCTGCTGAGCATGGAGCCTGCCTAGGGGCTCACTTGATCCAGTGACCCTGAGATCATGACCTTAGCTGAAATCAAGAGTTGGAAGCTCAACTGAGCCACCCAGGTGCCCCCTGTGATGCATTTTCATATTTTTCTCCTCGGCTGAAAAAATCAATATGCTAAAACAAAGTTTTTTTTTTTTAATTATCAAAATATTAGTCATTGTTTAGCCTGGGTGATGGACACATGAGAGCATAATGTTCTCTCTCTGTTTTGGGCTATGTTTGAATATTTTTATTACAAAAAGCTGAAAACACACCACCACCCTAGGTCGTACTCCTTTCAGCATTTGGGAAATCTTGTTGAATTCATTCTCTTTCTCCTGCACATTTTTTCCCAGTACTTTAAATTCCTTTATAAACATAACAAGAGTCCTCTCTTTCAGTAACAGTTTAGTTTGTCCCTACTGACTTTTTCAAATCTCCTTACTCTCACTGTCAAATGTTTCTGAGCACCTAAAAAACACTTATTGCTTCTAGCCCTCCAGAAATCACTCTTTCCTCACCTCTCCACTGATCATATTGTTACATTATACCACCTGTGGAATGAGAACATAAACTTTAAAAGTGAGGGAGGATGTGTTCATCTTTAGTATGGGAGACTCAGTCTGGATTTTACCTCAGTCTTCTTTTTACCCCTTTACCTTTTGGAGCTTTGTAAAATTGGCAGAGTTAGGGTTTATGTCATTTTCTAGTTAGATCCAATTGTCATAGCCATTCTAAGGCTGGGACAGTTGTGCATATGTTCTGAAAGGCAATTAATATAATAAGTGCCAGTTTACTCCATGGCCCGATTGATATTTATAAAATCCCATCCACATTTCTTCATTATAAAAACCCGCAATTGTCCTCTGTCATATACCACATTGTGCGCACCTCCCTGACTTCCTAGCTCCTCCATAGTGGGACCTTACCCTTTCTGGAGTCCAGTATGATTTCCTGTTAATCTAGTCACAGTTCTCCTCTCAGCGCTCCCTCGCCCGCTCCATCCTGTGGTATTATTCATGCTGATTCTCATACCAAGAATGCTCCCCTCTCCTGAGTTTCTCCCAACCCCTTCCTTCTCCAGCCCCTTTCTTTCTCTCTGGTACTGCTCCACTCAACCATACCTGGTCTGCTTCTGCCACCCTGATATCTTTTTTTTGTATCGTGTGTATAGTTGGTCAAATGTCACCCCCTCCATCACTGTTTTCAGATAGCTTTCTATAAATATATCTTGTTTTCTCAAATAGACTAAGGGCATGAACCATAGCTTAGCCTTCCCTGTGTTACAAGCACTTAAATCCTGATTATTTGTTTTAAAATGCAAATTACATCTCTTGAAATTTTGGATTCTTAAAGGTTATTAAAAAGTATAAGATATGAAGTCATCCCATTAAAATTTTTTATATTAGAAATTAGAAATAAGTAACAGAATAAATTCACTTAAATCTGACAAGTGACAGAATGAAGATGGGAATAATCTGTATGATTTACTGGCAGTTACTATGTGCTAGGCCCTGTGCTAAGTGCTTAACATACATTATCTCAGGATACCCCATGAGGTAGCTCTCATGATCCTCACTTTACACGTGAGGAATCAAATCTCACAAACAAGCATCTCCCCATAGCATACTAGTGGCAAAGCCCAGGTCTTTCCATCTCTAAAACCTTCAACCATGATATGGTTCTGCAAATAAAGATTGAAGGGTCCACAGCATTAACTTAAAGCAAGTGGGCCTTCTTTTCTTGTAAATTGAGAACAGTGTCTGTCTCAGCTTCCCAGTCTTGTGTTTTAATGTGTATTGTACCATTCCTTTAAGCAGCCTTCCTTCAAAGCTTTGGGTTTTAGAGCAAAACCTGTAGACTTTAATTGGCAGCTCACATGCTTCTTTGATGCCGCCCTTGCATCTCACCCCCATTCTGCTGAGAATCTGGTCCCTTCCTAATGCCAAAAAGCAGTGTTTCCTTTTGGTGTTTGACTGTCTCCGTAGTCAGTCAAATACAAGATAGGGAACAGAGATAGAGCGTAATCACCTTAATATGATTCTGTTACAGAGAGTGTTTGCTGCTATTTAGAGGGTAGTTTTTTTACCCCCTGTGCATTATGTAGTTCTGTGGCATGCTTTCTAACAACTGAGTAGGGAGACCAAGATAAATGAGCAGTAGAGTTGAACCAAATGAAAGAGACGTGAAGTATTCCTGAATTGTGTGGGTCAGCCATTGGGGCAAACCCACCTTCACTGCATATTTTCCTTTCACTTTTCCTGCTAGGTACCCTGCCAATTGATGGTTTGGATGTCTTGGTTACTTTTTTTTTTTCCCTAATGGGTCACCTATGGGTACAGTTCTTTGAGGTAAGCCTCTGGTAATGAGTTCTTAAACTTTAATGTGTGGATCACCCAGGTAGTCCAAATTGCATATTCTTGTGTTCCTACCCCCAGAGATTGTATGTTAGAAAGTTTTGAGTGGGCCTCTAGCCTATAGCACAGCTAGTTTGCTTTGTAGACCTTCTGTGACACTGTTCTTTAGGAGACTAGCCAGTGATGGGAGCTACGTGGTCATGAGCCCCTCTCAATGCCCCTTTGCAATGTGCCAGGATCCAGCTTCCCCTTCTTCTTGAGGCCAGATTCCTGATAGTCCCAGTCAGCCTGAGTGATGACCATTATACCATGCTTTCTTCCAGCAACCTATC